TGTTGCGCTGCTGCCGGAAATTTTTCATTTCGCCCCTGCTGCTGGTTTGGCTCTTTTTTATTGCCAACGACATCACTTCTTCTGCTCTGCTCCTTGCCCGCAGGTACACAAAAGGCAGCGACGAGACCTTAATAATGTGATTTTTATTCAAATCTGAAATTTAGTTAGTTTTGATTGAAGATCGATGATTTCAACCCTGCTCTTTTTAACTGGGCATCTGCAATCAATTTACACATTCGCTAGACAGGGATATTTAATAACCTAATTTAATTCTAACCATCTAAAACGTTTCAATCAAACTATTTCTATATTTTAACTTTTTTAATAAATATTTATATTTAACCCAATTTTTATCCAACTATATATTTAAGAGTTAGTTTAAATTTTACTGACAATATATATTAGATCATGAAGGCAAATTATGTGATTTGAATTTTTTTATAAAATTTATGTAATTGTAGAAGTTGGCAAACTAATTAAAAGTTCATTAAACCCAACCAAATTTCATTAGAATTATAGATTGTTTATTATATTTTTACTAATTATTATTTAATAAAATTGCTTGCTTTGTAATGAAATACATATCTCAACGCTTTGCTATAAAAAATATTTTATCGTGCAAATTACAACTACTTAATTTCTCTAACAGATCATTATTAACGATTATTAATAATTCATCAAATGTGCTATTTTCTTAAATTAGAGATGTTGTTATTTGGGTTTTAATTTAATCATATATAATTCAATTGGCTTACAATGAGAAAAATGTTTCATGTTAATTTTCACTATTTATTCTTTTGAGTTTTGAGTACGTCCTTTTCAAAAATGTAATTAATAAGCGAAAAATAAGCAAAAATACTTTCACCCCTAACAAAGGTCTTATAATCTTCCAACATCAGAACAGACAAAGCTACCGCAGTAAAGAATAAGACTGAATTATGTTTAATTTTCATTTCAGATAAAAGATAATTTTAAGAAAAGTTTCTTTTGCTCAATTATTTTCCAAATTTAATTAGCCACGACTCAATGATAACGACATCACGCTATAATTAAAAGTGTTTTCACATCAGCAAAGCAGCTTTGAAGTTTTTCACTTTTTCAGATGTATTTTTGATAATGTTAACTCGGCGACGATAATATTTTTAATGTCTGCGTTTTTTATTGCACCCTCTGTGCTGGAATTTGTTATTTTCCCAGTTGCACGATTCGTCTTTTTTGTGGACGATGTTTGTGTGTGAGTTTTTAATGAAGTCGTGGAAACAAAGACTTCCCGGAATCTGAGGACAGTGAGGCGCGACATCGACACCAACAAAAACGCACTTGGCTCCCACTCGCGCGCGGCTCCTCGCAGAGGGCGATATTTCCCATAAGTGGCTACTTTATTGCCTCCATAAACATGTAACTCGGCTTTAACTGCATCATTGTGTTTGTGCTGCATAAAATTATATGAACTCCGCGTCGCGCGGGAGAGAAAGAGCTTTAATAGTGAAACGCGATATTATATTTTTTCATTCGGACGATTCGTGTGAAAAACACACACCTCTGCATGCCGTCAGGGGGTATAATTTCTCACCTGCATCAAAATGCGTACAATTGAATCTTTGAAAATAGTTTTTGAATTTTCAACAGGGAAAATATTTTTACATAGTTTGACTTTAAAGATTCTGATTTGGGGTTTCAATTCTTAAATAAATTAATGTTTGTACTGATTGTGAGTTCAAATAGCTAATTACAAAAATTACACTGAAAAGCACCAAAAATATAAATTTGAAGTCTGCATTTTATAACTAAATTTACTCATATTATATTTTTTACTTTAAAAACGTTGGTCTTCTTTTGCTTAAAAACGACCCTATCAATTTTTCACAGTTTAATTAACAGATTGACGAAAAAACAATAGGAATTTCGATTTAAAAATTTACATTGATCTAACAGCAAATTTTCCAGTAAATTGGTTTTCTGTAAATAAAATTCATATTTAGATCAAAATAATTTTTTTTTATTTATTTAATGAATTATTTATCTATTAATATTTTTGTTTGTTGTTAATATTAATTCGCCAATAAAATTATTCATGATTTTAATTTTTTTTTATATCTAATTTAATTCAATTATAGAAACTTAATCAATCAGCAAGTTGTATTTCATTTTGGTACAGAAAAAAATTCTCAACGGCATTCTCTTGGTTGATGGCAATCTGTCTTGATAGTCGTATCACGTTTTAGCCAAGGACCGCGCCGCCGTATGTGCGCAATTAATGAAGGCCGCGAGAGGTGGATAATATTTCATGAGAGAGCGCGCGTATTATACGTTTATGTTAATTGAAAACGAGTGCGCGCTCGGTCTGTTGATGAAGCCTGAGAATTAAGGCTGAAAAGCGGCGCCTTTTGGTGTGTGGCTGCACAAATCATCGCTCGACACTAATTAGTACTCACACCTGCCCAAGGCAGAGCGCGCGAGGAAATTAGTCGTGACGCGGCGTGACCAATGAGAGGGCGGCACCTTATGCTGCTGTTCAGCCTTATTATTATGGACCACCGACCGCGAGAGAGCAGATCAACAAAATCCAACCCGCCGCTCTCTCGTCGCTACTTTCTTCCACGATCAACCCATTCCAACGGAACCAGGGCCATCTTTAATTAAAGCTCCGAACAGAACCAAAAATTTAAAAGAAATAAATGAATTTTAAAAATATTACTTATTTATCCCAATTCCCGCAAAAAATTTACATAGCAGACAAGAATGACAAAATCAATATTTGTTATTGGAAGGAAAACAATGAATTTTTGGATCAAAATTTTCTCCATAAAAAAGCTGAGATTTTGCCAAATCTTCAAAAGTAAAAAATAAAACAATTTACAATTTCAAAGCATAAAAAGCAAAATTAATAAATGCATTGATGAGCATAAGCATTATTGAATCTTTTTATTGCTAAAACTGTTAGCTTCGGAAAGAAATTTCATAATGTTGACATTATTTTCATTTAGGCCAGACTGGAAAAGAAGGTCCTGGACCTGGTATCAGTATCAAAGTAATTTTTTCATGATAATTATCTCCAACAGCCAAGAATTTGATAAATCAGTCCAGAGACTTCTCTCTTTTTCCTCGACTCCTTTCTCCGACTAAAAGGACGCACCAGTAACATAATTATTGCTTTGACTTGGCTCTTCTTTCTCTTCTCAAGTTTATATTTTGTTTTATCTGCCAGACAAAGGAAGCATTTCTCCTTCTAAAATTATGAAAGGCACTTCTTTGCAGGCGCGAGAATAATAAGTTAATTGCTGACACAATTGAATAATTTCTATATATGTAATTAAATTGGCCGCGCATTTGCGTTTGTGGAGTATTATTAATGAATAATTACCTGCTATTTATTCTGGACACGAGACGGATTTAAAATGACAAAAGAGGATTATTATTATTTTCTTCTTTTAGTTAATTATTGGACTTCGTCCCGAAAGACTGAAAATTTCAACGAATTTTATTTTCATCGGTGTTCAGTACAATCACTTAAACTGCTGCGACGTTGTTAGCAAAAAATAAAAATTTGCATAGCAAAATTAATCTGCAAACATCCTGCTTGTTAATTAAATTCTTCCTTAATGGCGACACTTGATTTATTGAGGCACCACTCGCGGCCGATTCACAACTTTCTAATGAGACTATCATGAAACAATAATTACTCCGCACTTGACTTGTAAATTCACTCCACGTTTAAAAATATATTCGCGGCTCTGGATCGAATCGAATAAGGACTTGGTCTCTCTATTTTGCATATTAATGTGCCCGACATGTATACCTGATCGTATATAATTATGCACATACAGACACCGCGCGCCAGCACATTCCCGTCGTAAGTAATGATCATTATTATGAATTACGGCATGCATCACACACATTACAGCGCCGTGTGTGTTGTATTAATGTGTGTGAATGTGTAATTTATATTTGTAATTTGAACTCCATATCTGGAAGAAAAACACCAACTTGATCAATATATCTTAAATTTTAATTTGCACGCTCGCATTTCTCACTTTCTTGCGATACAGTTTGTCTTTCATGAGACAGTTTAATTGAATATCACACACTTGTGAAACTGAGAAAGATCGACGTGTTGACAATTTATAGTTCCACATGTGATGCTTAAAAAAAATAATCCATTAGGTAATTACATTTGGATATATAATAATAAAGTAATAATAAAATAATGCGCAATACATTTTTCTAAAACAATTAATGAGATTGAATGAAAAAACAAAATTGAAATTTATTTGAAATAATATTGTTTTGAAAACATCAACGCTTGTTCATTATTTTAATTCCACAATTATTTTAACGTGTTCCCCTCATGAATTTATCATGATAAAAATAATAAAAAATTTGCATAATGAATTAAAAAAAAATAATACAAGGGGGTTGCAGAATGTTCTAACAAATTCCAGTTAGTTAATATTAAATTTGAAATTATTAATTCATGAATTAATTATTTATTATTAATTTATCCTGCAGATACAAAACAAAATTAAAAATTATAATTAATTATTTTATTTTATAACGTTGAGTACAAAATTTAATAGTAATTTTGAATATATTTTTATTAAATCTATTATTATCTATTTTATTAATCTATATTCGAAAATATTATTTGGAACTAATTGTAAGTTGTTTTATGGGAAAATTTGTAATAGAAAATCGCAATGTACAATGAAATTGTTGTACTTTCGTTGCTTCCAAGTCTAGGTTCTAAGAAACGCAACACTCGAAGTACCAAAAATAATGAAATATTGAGGTCGTGCTGAGGTTTTATTGCGCTGCTGCTCGAGTACACCTGGCCGCGCGTGATGGATCGAGGTGATTACGGACAAGCAGCAAACAAACACACCTCGCAGCAGGGCGCTCTGCGTACCCCTGCATCACGCTCAGGGTGGCATTTCTCGTAATAATCAACTCCCCCTCCACACCGAAATTCATCTTCTTCGTTTGCATATAAATAATAAGGACGTAAATTACTTATTTACAATGTTTTTTATTATTTAAAATTTATTGAAAAATATATACATTGTATTAATTATTATTATTGTTGTTTATTTGTCCACATTGTTACAATAAATATAAGGGAAAATTTTGCCACTGTAAAATGCAAAACCTTTATTTGAAATTATAAAGTGTCAAATAACGCAAAGAAACCCAAAAGTTTTAGAAACTTGGGGGGCCATTTTCCTGAAGTTGATGGTATCAAATACGGGAAAATTAATGTAAAATTGTGCGAGAGAGGAAAAAATCAACCGAAACTTGCTATTAAACTTGAAGGGTAGGATTTTCAAACTTTTTAATTAACACAGATAAAAAAAAAACATTTACACTTAACTTGACATTAAATTGTTTCACCATGGCAAACAAAAGAAAACTTGCTGATGATAAATCCAAATTACAATTAAAAGTAATTAAGAAATAGGGTGGATCTTAATTAGGATAAATGTAGAACCTTTGACGATTTCAGCACTGCATTTAATTTTCCAAAAAAATCCAAATGTGCCAAAAAGCGCGAGCGTGAGCGCTTGAGTTTGGAAAAATTGGGAGCGCAAGCGATCAGCCACAAATTAGCGTGCTTGTCAACCTTGTTATTTGCTATAACACTTGTGCTTTCTCCCATTGCTCACATGCGACTTGCATTTCAAGCACTTAATGCAACTTTCAGAGATATTCATACATTTATGATGCAAAAGCACGTTTCTGTGAAAACACGCGTAATCACATATTGTGCACTTGTATCTTGCTTTGATTGCTCCGTGTTTTTTGAAAAGATGTTCCATCAATGATTCACGTTTTGAGAACATTTTTGGGCACAATTCGCACAGAAGGGTGCGTTTAACATACGAAAAGTCAGAATGGGTCCTAGTGTAATGAAGCTGCAGAGCCCCCTTGTTACCAGCCACAAAATTACACTTTTGGCATTGAATACCGGCCGATTTAAAAAAATCTTTTCTCCATTCTTCATTTTTGTGACTACGAGACATGTGTTGAATCAATATTTTTCTTTCATCATAAAAATTAGGGCATAATTTGCAACCTAATTTTTCTTCGGTCGAATTTTTTTCGATTTTTCCATGCCCGTCTGAGGAACCTACTTTTTCTTCACAACTTCCACTGGACAATGCCATTTCAGGCCCCTGAATTTTTATCGAATTGACCTCGACAGATTTCTGCCCGTGTTCCTTTTTATGATGCAAATATTTCTCAGCGTTGGTCCTGAAGAATGTGGGGCAAAAGTTGCACCTCACACACTTCTTCTTATGGAATCTTTGGATATGATTCACCAACTTGTCTTCACACTTGAAATGCTTTTTGCACACCCAGCAGCAAAGCTGGTCACCAACCTTCAAGCTTTGTCCAGCTTCATTTGCAGAAATTTCCTCTTCACTCAGCCTTGTCAACTTCACCCAGCACGGCTTGGCAAATAATTCATCTGCAAGATATCAAAAATTTTGTTTAAAATATGTTTTCAACGGAATTAATTTTAAGAAAAAAAAATTATAGATGATCGAGATCTATTAACTATTAACGATAGGAAAAAAATACAAACCGTTCCGCAGATAGTGCTTTTCCAAAGCAGGGCAGGATCCAATCACCATTCCTTCTGGCCACCATCGTAATCCTTTGTCCTTGTCAGCATCTCTCTCAGAGTTTTCATGCAAAAACCTGAAAAAATTTATATCTTTTTCAAATTCCTACCAAAATTTTGTTATGTTTACTAATTTAATAGCTATATATATATATATATATATAGTAATGGCAAACAAAAAATCACGTAAAAATAGTGATGGTTAATTTCGTATAGAAAAAAAATCAATGATATGTTGTGATATTAAGATAATTAATTAAATCAGCAACTTGCTGGAAAAACTATTTAAAATAATTGTATGCTTGGATGGTAATTATGAAAACTGTCTATCATTTAAATAATATTTTTTTAAATATTGTGCAAAACATTATTTTTTATGCAATCTAGTTTGCTGGTTGCTGGCTGATAAAATATTAAATTTTTTTTAGAACATAATAATTATTACAATTAATAATATAATTATATAGCTTAAATACCTCGCATCCCAGACGCAAAAGCAGCAAAAGACGTCGTTTTTCAGTAAGCCGCCGTCGAGCTCTTCAGATGAATGGGTTGACCACCACTTGGCAAATTTGTCCAAGTCAACCTGGGACGCCGCCAGTCCTCCGTCCACTACCGGACACTCGCACAAACGGCAGGAGATCATCTTTTGCGCCCGAAAAAGGCCTCACTGGTGAAAATAGGACGCAAAATTGTTCAAGAAACAAGATTCCTTCGAGACGTGAAGTGAGATGCCGCGAAACCGGGAAAAACGCGGCCGACTCCAGCTGTATTATGAGGTCACGTGGTTCCTAGACTGCGGAGAAAAAAATGCGCGCGAGAAGATGGAAATGTGCGGGTTGCATACCTTCAATGAAGATATTATTAATAACAATTTTTTTGGGTAGAATTTCACGATCATAGTGATTTGAATTTAAGCCGATATTAAATTTAAATCACCATGAATATTTTTTGCACAGATTCGCACTTTTTTACAATTTTTGTTACATTTTGTTTCATTCGATCACTTTTAAGCATATTCTTTTCTCATTTTTACGTTTTATTTGTTTAGTTGGTGCATCACGAGGAAATTTCCCCCCATCAAAAAATGATGAAAAATAATACTAGCATCAATCTTTTTGTTTAAAAAGTTTTTTCCAGAAAAAAAATTAGTATCTACAGTTTTTATTTAAGTCATTAATTTATTTTAAATCAAATTTCATTATTTATTATTAATTTTTTGATTATTATAGAGCTGAGAAATTATTGTTATAATCACAATTCTGTCACGTGTCCTTCATTACTTCTTTGTTCATTAAAGGAAATTTAGTCCATGGAAATGAAGAGATCGGGCTTTTTCTCTTTGCAGTTTTTTTTTTTTTTTTAATTAAAAAACAAATGGCGCTACCTTATTCCGGTTTCCATTTTTAATTAAATCTAAATTTCTTGTATTATTATAAATTACATGAGATTGAAACCTGTAAGATGTATTCTAAAACATTATTATATAAAAAGAAACTCTTAATTCTCAATAAAGGGAAAAAACAATTAATAATAAAAGACAATAGAAAAATAGACAAACGGGAGCTGCCACAACAGCCACAACATCTCAATCTCTATCAAATTATGTCTCTCTATAACACAGGACCACCAGGTGCAGCGGACTACTTTAAATAAAACAAACAACAATAATCTACCTCTCACAACTTGTTGTTTGTTTTAAATCAACCACTCACTTAATTTTTTTTTCTGTGGTGGTTCATATAATATTTTATAAGAACGACTTTTTGAACCTTATGAAAAGCTGCTGGGCCTCTTTGGTAACAAATCACCATCAAAACTTTCAGAGAGTCGAAGAGAAAAAAAAACTCCATTTGTTAGGTTGACCATATGGTCATTATTAACACACAATGATACACTCGGCGCGCGATATTAGCCCGAGAATGGTATTATGACAGCTCGAATACGCAGCTCCTTCTTTTCGCCTGGCAGACAAACGGAAAAAAAATATATACACGTCGAGAGCCAGTTTGGGGCTGAATGATTGCTATTAATTTGTCAATTTCAACTGTTCATATATAAAAATGAGCGCGCGAGTGGAAAGGAAATAAAAAAGGGTCTGCGAGCTGTCAGAAGCGCGGAAGGGTAAAGAATAAGTCAAGAGTAGAAAGAAAGGTATCGCTCATTTTTTTTTTTTTTTTACAAACTGTCAGTTACCAAAAGTGATGCGAGTCCTTTTCTTATATAGTTTATCTTATTATAGTTAATGGTAAGGAGGTTTTCATGAGAAAATTTAATTTTATATGCTTACAAATTTAATAATTTATTAAATAAAAAAATTTATTTTAAATGTTTATTGATTTACTAAAAGTTGTTTTGATTTTATTTTATTTTGTATGTTATAATTTTTTATTTGTGTAATATTAATTTTATTTTTTATTGTCTCATCAAGTGACAGTTGCACACAGCAAAAAAATACATTTTAATCATAAAAAAAGTTTATAAATTCTCACTCTAAAACAAGCACTCTGTATATAATCTAACGGAACATTGTCTAGACTATAAGAAAATGGTTTCAGGAAAACATTAAAAAAAAATCTACCTATACTTTTGTCATAATTGAGAATTGTGATAGTTTGCGACCCATCTTGGCGTGGCTTTTTATAGGCTCCGAATGCTCCGATCGACTTGTTTGCCAAAGGTGATGTCGTTTCTGCACAATTTCTAAGTTAATTATTTTCTTTGTGTCGACTTCTGATTCTGTGAAGAATTAAAAATAATTTAATAATTTATATAGTATTTATATCATTACTTTTTTAAATCACTGATGTAATGAATGAAAAATTATTATTAAAATCTTAAATGAATGAGACATCATATTAATAAATAGTTACAAAATATTGATGCAAAATATTTTTTCAAGGAAATATTCTGACAGGCAATATTTGTGCATGTAAACCTGCAGAGAAGGAAGCAGGTATGAAATTGTCTCTTTCGCACGTGACATGCTCAAACCTCAAACGTATGAGATTACGCCCGAGCATGAGAGTCTGCAAGGCTGCCGTTGACCAACAATTGTCGACCGATATCATTGCGCATTTCGAAGGGAATTCACTGTCCTCTCTTTATTATACAGTAGGTGGTGAGAATATTTTAGCGACGCAGCTTCTCGTCACGACCGTGCAGCCGCTCGAATAAATTGACAATTACGCTGCGATCGCGGCTCACTCAGTCTTTAGTCATTTTGTCGGCAGGGCTGCCGTTGGGTAATAATTTCAAACCGCGGCGCATTCCGTCACACAACTCTTAAAACACATGCTATTTCCACTCCAAGTCGTGCGACTCGAATCAAAATGCACGGGAGTGATGAGCTGATGAGAGGAATATTGGACAAGGATAAAGAATGCACGCATTTGTGTACGAATTTTCCTTTAACATAATTAAACTCCTGAAATTAAAAAGACAAAACTTTCAGTTTTAAAAGTGATATATTTTTTTACACAGATTTCATGAAAATTGAAATAAAAGCGTTTTTTTATTAATGAATTTTAAAAATATAACACGGAGAAAAAATTTTTAGTCATCTTTTTTCCACAGCATTTATTATTATTATTTTTGATAAATATAAATTTTTGGGCTCTTGCATGATTTCCTTAGTTTTCATACAGGACTCTTTGTGCGATGTAATATTTAACAATGATATAATATGGAGAGTAAATAAATAAGGGAAAACGTTTTTTTTTATATGTGTCAAAATCTTATAAAATCCACCAAAGTTTTATTTTATTTTTCTAAAGCATTGGAACGCGTGAATTTGAAATAAATAATAATAATAATAACAAATAAAAATTCACATTTTTTTCAGTTTTTTCTCTTACATACCCAACATTGTTTGGAAACGTTCTCGTGACTTTCTGGACCAGAAGCCCTAGCGGAAGGAGCCGCGCCTAATTTGCCCTTTTCTTCTTTGTCTTTGCAGCAGCGCGCGTGAGTGACCGCGGCGCGTTGGCAGCAGCAAATCGGCGGACGGTGTAATTGAGCGACAGGGACCATTGCGTCCTTTTCCTCGCAGCTCTCGGCAGCACCGTGAGAATTAGAGATCAGAAGCACCGACGGCACACTCGCCCCTGTAGTTAGCCGAAGACGTGATCGGCCGCAACTCACCAATCTATTGCATTTTCAAATTTACGCGCACACCTTTACAGAGAAGAAAATATTATAATCTTTTATAATATTCTATCTCAACCAACCTTGTCCTTGATCAAGTCTGCTGTTGACGCCGATTTGCTTTTTTTCTCGTTGATCTGTAAATTACAACAAACGAAATTTAGGACTTTCAAATTTTGAAATTTTATTTGCAACAAAAATGAAATTTTTTAAGTGGCAATTAAAATATTTACTTTTGAAATGAGACAGTTTGTTAAAATACTTAAAAAATACTTAAAAGCGATAAAGAGAGATATAGTGTTTTCTTCATTCTACTCTGGAGTTCATGTTGATAATTATTTAATTAATATAAAATTTTTTATATTAATAAGCTTTATGTACTATATTCATCGTTTGATAAAAGCAAAAATTGCTAGATTCATAATTAGAATGGATGTTTTTAAATAATTTGTTTGAAAAAGTTGACACTCGAGGAGATGATCATGGAAAAGCCCGACTCTTCATTTTTAAATAATGTAAGGTTTTTCACTAAATAGAAATCATATATGGAATAAATACTTTAAATTAAAGCAATAATTGCATTAACTTTTAAACTAATCAAATTGACCTCTACTGTTTTGTTTGACTTTTCCTAAATTTTCTTTTCCTCCCAATTAAATGGTATCAATGAAATTCATTTTTTCTGCAAAATACTTTTTGATTGATATTTATTATCATTCTTTTATGTTCTGCGACGCATTCTTCGGAGAGATTGGAAGAGACGTTTTGTGTTCATAACGAGTGAGTTGATCTCACTACATAATATACTGCAAATTGAGACTCGAGCATGCTAATGATCGTTCACACTGCAATGCAAAAAAGATTTGATATCTTCATCAGATTCGAGTACGTACAAATTGTCTCGCGTTTGGGACGTACCTCTGGCGTGTGTGTGCATTCTGTGTGTTGCGTATAAAGTGTTGTAGTGCGCGCGATGTGTATAATTCACATCTGCTGGCGATGCTAATATCAAAATAATGACAGCCAACGCGGCTAATGATACGGCGGCGCGAGATCCAAGGTGAATCAATTGCACGTGAATTCACGGAAAAGTAGCAACGACTCCGCCGAGTGTGAACAAAGTAAAAGGTCTCCGTTCGCGCCACGGCTCCTCAACCCGCGCGCCGTGATGATAGACCACGGCAAGACGCGTTTTCGTAATAAAACGCTTCTTCTGTGCTGCGGCGTCTTTGATTACAGACTCCCAACTAAACACTAAAAGTCTCTTGCTGGAGAGACGCACAGTTGAAAGACAAAAAGCTTCCAAGAGTGCGGTTGAATCATTGCGGTGAAAAAGATGATAATAAAAATAATAATTTCATAAATAAGATTAACAATTATTGTTTTTAATTCATAAATGAATATGAATAATGATAAAAAGAGTTGTTTTTAAAAATTTATTCAAAAATGTAGCACAACAGTTCATTTTTCAATGGATTTTTGGTGAAATCCGTTGTATAATATTGAAAATAATAGTATTAAAATAAAGCAGATTATATTTATATCCTCGTTTAAAAAAGTCTTTGAAAGGTCCTAGTTTAATAAATCTTACATTTTCCATCACTG